CCTTGAGCTCAAGCTCCTGTGAATATGAGGTATATTCTTAGTTACTGTTCTCACACGCATAGTTCTCTTTTCATTGTTCAGATTCTTTCTTGGCTCGAACAAAGTGATGCAAGTTGCTCTGGGTCGATCTGTTGCTGATGAGCTTAGACCGGGCCTTCACAAGATCTCCAAGGTTGGGTGCGCACACACACGCACGCACGCACGCACGCACATACATATACAATTCCATTTTCTTACATCTATTTCCATGGTTTAATGCTTTTCTGAGCTAACGGATTTCTTCTTTTCCAGCTTGTTCGTGGAGATTCTGGGCTTTGTTTTACTAATCTACCAAAGGAAGAAGTTCAAAGGTACTTTTAGATTCATTCACTAGGTCTGTAAGATTTTTTTTTGAATATTTTTGTTGATGAATAACAAAGATGAGAACTGCTAAAGGCCACTTTTTTTGCTAAAGGTGGAAAAATGGTAGTTGGAATGGGTGAAGGAAAAAGGAGAGATTAGATTTTGAATTTTCATGATGACTTGGTGGTTTTAATTAGAAAACATGCAGAAAATTGCTCTTTTCAGGTTCCATCCATGGATACTAAGTTAAAGCATGTTTTTTCCAAGTTTTTTGTCTTCGAAGCCTATACAATACAGTCAACCCTTGTAGCTTGAGCTGATTGGTACAAAGAAATTGCCTTTTGGGGCTTTACTTCTCTGTGCATATGAAAAGTACTGAAGCTGTGAACTTCTGTTATGTATAGGCCTTAAAGAGTTTTTTCTTCCTTATTTTGGCTTTCCCATTCAGATTAACGAGCTAATTAATTATCATTTAGGACATCTGCTGTTGTTCTTTTCAATTGGTCAATCCATATGTGTAATTTATTCCCCTGCTTTTGGTTTGTCTGACTTTTTAAAATGGCTGGCAGACTATTCAATGAATATGAAGAATATGACTTTGCAAGAACTGGAACCCTTGCAACAGAAAAGGTATGGTTTTAACTCCCTTTCCCTCATCAGGGATTGTTTCTGTGAAACTGCCCCATCGAATTTGAGTAGCTGGATTTCGATTTGCTTAGTGCTTGTTATTTTGCTTGGTTGAAAGAATAATGCTACTATTTCTGGAATTTCTAGATCTAGGGATGAATCCTGGTAATAGGTGTTTTGCAATAGTGAGACTATCTTTTTATTTATTTATTTATTTTTGCATACTTGAAATTTGTGCCTGTGCAGCTGGCTGTTTATTAACATTTGGATCGCTGTTAATTTCGTCATCCTACGAATTTGCATTTTTTTCAGCATTTTGGGCATTTGGATCACACACAGCTCATCAGTAGGTAGTGTCACAACCATCAGCTGATAAATGCAATGACATTTTGGTTTATGCAGATGCTTCTTGGATAGTTGAGCATGTGCATTCCCATATTTGTAAATCATGTGTCGTCTGTTGACTTAAAAAAACAGGAGTGTCTTCTGTTGACTTATATGTTGTATAGCGCTATGCATAGCACTAACTTCTCATTGAATTTTTAGGTGGAGCTTAAAGAAGGACCCTTGGACCAGTTCACCCATGAGATGGAACCCTTCTTGCGCAAGCAAAACATGCCTGTCCGCTTAAACAAAGGTGTGGTTTTATGTGTATCTTTTTGTTGGACGTTTTCTTGTTAAATGCAATAAGATGTAAAGATAGTCTACTTGGTGATCAGGCGTGATTGAGCTCCTGTCTGACTGTGTTGTATGTGAGGAAGGCCAACCTCTGTCGCCTGAGTCAGCTCGGATATTGGTATGTTCCTCGTTAATAAAACCATTTCTCGTCGTCGTCGTATTGTCTTGGTCGTGATACTTAAAATGTCACATAGGACAAACTTACTTTACCTTGTTTTGCTGTGTTTGAAGAGCTTTGGGATTGTTTCGAGGCACTAAATCATGGCTTTATTGTTATGCAGCGTCTTCTTGGTATAAAGATGGCTACTTTCCGGCTTCATTTGACTTGCAGATGGAGCTCTGAGGAATTTGAGGTTTATCAAGAAGGATTGGAAGATTCAGATGTCGAATCCTCGTAACAACACTCGAACGTATGACATGTATCAATCAATATACATTGTGCCATACGAGTGTTTGAGTTTGCAGCCCCTTCCGGATCGTGTTGGAATTTCAAGTGCTTAAGTAGTACAGGCTCTGTATTCTCTCTTTAAAGTTTTAGTTGATGCTGAGTTAAAAGTTTTGCTGTTGTGATCAAGTATGGGCAGTTATTCTTTTTTGGAGACATATATTTATGTATTTTTTAATGGCATTGATGGAAGAAGTTACATCTTGTCAATCAGTAAACTTGATTGGATTTGGGGTTTCAATCAGTAACAAATACTGAATAGTGCAAGTACCGTGTTTTGCACTTGATAAGACTTCCAACTCAAAAAATGTCCACGCAAATGTAGTCCCTTCCTCTACCCTAATTCCTGGGAAACAAAAAAAAAAAACAAGAGTAGCTGGCTTCCAAGCATCCATTTGCCAAGGCTCCTTTATTTTTTTCGGATGCAAGCCATTAGCCAAGGGTCCTATTTGCGTATCTGCTTTAGAAGGCCAGATACGGAGGCACAATGTGTTGATTTGTATTTACACTCTTCGCAGCAAGCCTGCAGCAATTCAATGACCCTAACACACCTGCACGTATATGAACAAGCACAAGGCCTTAAAAGAATCAGTTTTTATCGCATGATATTAGAAATTAATCTAGGCACCATCAGTAAACTGAGCAGACACCATCGGACTGTCTTATCAGTTAATTGAGCAGCATCTTATGGGTATATAAGGCAGATACAATTGAAAAAGGTTATCCAAGTCAATTAACGATGAACCTTAAATATTCCAGAAAAAAAATGAGAGGTGGGAGATCACAAGTGGTGCTGAAACTAGACCAACATGAGCTTTGAATGAAAATTCGACATACTTGTAGTGCGACCATTAAGTAGCTTGAATGACAACCATCTCGTAATTGGCCTTTAGTTCCGTTTCACCGAAAAACCCCCAAAGAGAAGATGCCCAAGTTTTAGGTCCTTGCTTGACTACCATCTCGTAATTGGCCTTTAACTTGACTACCATCTCTCATTTTAAAATACGTCTCGGCTCTTTTGAACATGTCCAAGTTTTACAGAGTCATACAACATGACTGTATAGCACAGTAGGACCATATTTGACAAATAGGTAACATATTTACACGAAGAGGCGATAATTTATATGTGCCACCACCTATTAGTTCTTGTATCGATTAGCTTACATCAGAGGATAGTCTAAAGCTGTTCCCTTGCTATCAGTCCATCCAAGAGCACCCCTTCCTAGTCTGCTTAGTCGGTTGAGTAATCAAACTCGGATTCTTATATTGGTCGAGTAGTGAGACGGACATTTCCTCACAATCATATTGTTGATTCCAGTTAACATCAGATTGAATGAAACGGATGACCAGAAGAAGATAGCAAGGCTAAACAGATTCGAGATTATCTTTACCTGTTTCTCCTCTCTCCAGCACTCTTGCACTGATCAGCTTGCTGCAACAAAGCAGGCTGAGGAATGAATTGGATGGAAATTTAGGTCTCTGTCCGCTTGGAAGATTATTCTTTCCTCCTCAGTGAAAGAGGGCAAAGGTGTGTGGGAAGAGGCTTTAAAGAGCTATTTCCTGAGGTCTTTCGGTTAGGATTTGCTAGTAAGAAAAGAATGGGACTTTAAGCTCATATACGTGCGAAGGAAGCATTCCCTAATGCTTCCCAGTGAATGACTTTCTCGTCGGCCAGGAACTTTTTACCTGTGTTGTCCACTTTGTTTTAATGCATTATGGATAGTTCGCTGCTGTACTGGCTGTACCAGGTATTCTCACTCGCCAGCAGAGGCTAAACCTATATTCATTTTATGTTTTTCAAGCATCAGTTATGATGCAGATTTAGTGACGCTTGCGACTGGCTTAGCAGAACTCCTACTTGCTTTTCTGACAGTAAGATTGTTACATTAGCAAAGTAGCAGGTAATTCTATTTATTTCTAGCTCGTACATCGTTCCACACCGAGAAGAGGGATGTGTACCATGGGGAACTCCGGACCTAGGCCTGATAGAGGAGAGGAGTTCAAAAGCCAACCATATTTGACAATTACAAACAAGGCCTCAGTCCATAAATAACTCTCTTCAAGTGAAAAGCCACCAATAGTCTGAAAAAGTACATTATGCATCTCTTCCTTAAAGCATAACTTTCAGAAACTTTTTGTCAGGTGAAGTAGTCCACTTAACAGATGCATCGATCAAGAAAGCAAATTTAAGAACACAACAAGCCAGAAAATTAACTAAAACCAATTCAATCACTATGCACTATAATGAGTCTGCATGAATTTTTTGTTTTGAATTCTTTGAATCAGGAGAATGCCTGCTTTTGTGGTTCAGAAACCAAGCAGGGCAACTATAAGGATAATCAGCATCCATAAACCTATCGAGGAGATAATGGAGAAAAGAACAATTTTTTTTTCAAATACAAGATTTCTGGATGCATGTAGGTCACTAATATTCTTGAGTTGAAATCATACAAGAGGACCTTAATTGGGGTCTGAGGAAGGTTGGGAACTTCACATTTGACTGGATAGTCACAAAGGATTAGTTCACAAAGAAATAGGAATGATAAAGAGAGCTTTAAAATGTAACTTAGCTAATTGAAAAGATTCAATTTTGATAACAAGAGAACCTAAAGGACCACTCTAATAAAAACAAACAGGTAAATTTAATAAACAAAAAGAGTATGATACCTTTTCAAATGTGTTATTCCCTACTTCATGCCTCACTGTCTGAAACAACTAATATTAGTCGAAAGAAGATCCAGTGTTTGCAAATGCTTTGCGCCAAATTTTCCTCCCATATGTTTGATAGATTAATAAAAGATGTTTCCTTGTCCCCATAAACCAGGTTTGGTGTAGTTCTGTTTTTGTTGGAAGTCTAATATGGAGTGATAATAGACAGAAAATAGTTTCCAAGGTCATAAAGGCAACATTTTTACACAATTTACATGGACAAGGTGTCATTTCTGGGTAAATGTGTATGACTTCAGGAAGAGGTTTACAAACAATGTAGAACTGAAAGTGGCATGATTCACATCCTAATCAGAGTAAAAACCTGAAAACATGTCATACAATTTTTATCACATCCGCAATGATGAGATGCCACATCATTTAAGCCGCTGATATTTCTTTCGGTTAAAGAACGCTGAAACTAAAGAGTACCAAAATTATCCGCCTCTGTTGCCTATAAAACTGTTCCTCTATTACATATTCAACAGTCAACTGCAATTTTGTACTCATCTTCCGGCACAATAACAGTCAGCAGACACTTCTGAAGCCATCTGCAAGAGTCTTAACCACCACAACTTCCACACAGGTATCCATTCTCATCATTTTTACTATGAATAAACCTGTCAGGGGCCCACTTCTGAAGACTGTAGGTGTCTAACCAACTCAACTTCCACAAAGGTATCCATTGTCATCATTTTCACTGTGTATCAATTCTCATCACTTTCGAGTAAATCTGTCTAAATTCAAGTCTTTCTAACCGACAGTAGCAATTTGTTTTCTTGCTTTTGATGCGAAGCAACATTTCAAGAGTACCTTGACAATCTCAAATCAATTGGTCCATTATCAACACCCAAATTCTAATGGAGATGCGGACTGGGAGGATGGACTCGTCTCAGAGTAAAACAAGATTTACAAATACCTAAGAACCAGTACACGGAAAATACTTTCAATCAGCGATTTATGCACTATGAGTGATCATAAGATTTCCAAAAAGCGCTAATAGGCAATCAACTTGCCTTTAATTATGAGCTAAGAAATGCTAAAAAGGTCCACATGATCGACTAGAAGTTCCAAATTTTCTATTCCAAACGACGCATATTTACTACTCCAGTACTATAACAGAGAAAATCAAACTTTGGCGCAGGATATGTGCGTCGATACCAATATAAACAAATATCACAAACTAAAGTGAAGAGTCACCCCATCCACATTTGTATGCAAAGGATTAATGGTTCATCAAAGAAGAAAAGATGGAAAATTTTTACAGAGCAGGGGACCTTTCTTCTTCAGTTATCTGGTAGCTTTGGAAAAAAATTAGAGTACATTTTTTATTTAGAGTAAATGAGTGCAGAAATGAAATTAGAAGAAAAAGGGTACCTTTGTGGATTGAAATTGCTCTTGGCAAGGCAAGCTTGAATATCACAAGCTTGCTTCTTACATGGCTCTTTGCTAGGCTCCGGCATCTCTCTTTCTTCTCTCCGCTCGTGGAATTCTCTGCAAGCTGTTCTTCAATTCGTTTCTAGTTTCTTCCTCTTTTTTTTTTTTTTTTTTTTTTTTTTTTTTGCGATGGAGAAGAAATTGAAAACTTCTATTCTATGTCAGCTTCTTCGACAGGAGTTAGCGGATGCGTTCGTGAACGAAGAACAAAGAGAAAGGAAAGTCAGCCTCGCCTCGCTTTCTTGGATGCTCTTCTCTTCTCTTGGGATGGCGTCGATGGATGGATTTTTTTGATGATGATGATGGATGATGCCCCACATTACAGCGGGATGTGGTCGAGGAAACTTGGCAACCTCTATTTTAATGACGCCGGCTGGCTGTATTAGTATAGTCCCGCCCAGTTCGCCAGTTGGACTGGCCCTCGGCGTTGCGTGGGGAATCCTGATTTTTGGGGCGCCCTCCATGTTCTATCCGCGTTGACAATCTAATTCCGTCGTAATCTTGAAATTTGCTTCCTGTAATTCAGTATAACTAAAATTAAAGTAAAATTCAAGATCCCATCAACACCATTTAAAGCTGCTGCTACTTATAAATTAACACCAAATATTAGCTAAAAAAAATTACATCAGTTAAACATGAAAGCAAAAATGACCGTCAACGCGGAGAAGCAAAATCACAACATTGACCTTTTTCGATTTCTTTTATCTTTTTAGTTTTTTACTTGCCTTATGATACGAGCGGGCCGACGCGCGCCGTCTCGTGACTTTGCCATCACTTAGGAAAAAATTCCTGTATTTTGATAGTAAAATTTATTTGAGATAATTTTAGTTTGAAAAAAAATACTGCTAGCCATTTTTTTTTGATGCCTATATATTACTTAAATAAAAATATAATTAACATCAAAAGTTTCAAGAAGATCTTCAACAAGAGATGTTCAAGAGGAGATTGCAAAGTTACATGGGATGAATGCAATTCAAAAAGAGAAAAAGAAGAGTTGGCCCAAATAGCACTAATGGCCGTTGGAGAAGATGAGGTAAGTTCTTATCACTCTTCTTGTGATGAAGATAATGAAGATGATGATGTGAAAATTCTTATGATTAAAATGCATAAAAGTTTGAGAAAATCTTATGCTAAAAATAAAGATTTGAAAACAAAAATAAATGATTTGTTGGAAGAAAACTCCAAACTTTTTCAAGAAAACAAATGTTTGAGAATGGAAAATGATGATTTAAAAAATCAAAAAAATGTTTTGAAAAGGAAGTTGGAAGAGACAACAAAGTTTTATGAAAAAATGTTGGAAGAACAAAATTTGTTAAAGAAAAGAATTAATGACTTGAACGAGTTTCTCCAAAATGAAAAACAAAAGTTTTCTCAAACAAAAGAAAGCAAATCTTTTCAAGGCACAAATAAGTTTGTTATGATAAGAAGTAAGAAAATTAGTTGCATTAAATCCACCTATGTGCAAAATACTTCTATCATGTGTCACTTTTGTTGCAAATTTGGACATATGCAAAATGATTGTTATGTAAAGAAAAATATGAGAAAAGAAATGAAATTCATGTGGATTGCTAGATCATGTTGTATTAACTCCCAAGGACCCTATAAAGAAAGGGTACCAAATGAAATTTCTCATATTTAGGTACATCATGAAGATTTGATCCAAGTAGTGCTATATGGTTGTAAGTACATTTGAAAATTTTGATATTCAATATGGTCTTGATTTGAAAAATAAAGGGGGAGTTTGTTTTTGATTGATGCCAAAAGGGGGAGTAGGATTTATTGAAATTTCTTTGTATGTTGGCACTTTCTAAGGGGGAGCTTTATTTGAACTTATTTGATAAAAGAAATCTTCATTTTGTTTGTCATCATCAAAAAGGGGGAGATTGTTGACCTTGGGAACTGTAAAACAATGATTACTCCTTGAACCTGTTGATGTTCAACAAGCAGTATCTGTGGTGTTCCTGGCTTTCTTCGTTCTCCATAAAGTACAACAATTATTTTCCCTTCGATTGTAAATTGTTCTCAAGTTTAGTCTCATCTCATATGCATTTTCTCTGTTTAAACTCTGACATCTGAGAATACGTCTGCTACATTTTCCACTTTGTTTTGACCTTGTTAATATATTTCATCTAACACCATGGGTTATTTATCCTGTAGGCAATTGGGGTTTTGTCTAAAGGCATTGATAACTGGGGACACGTAAGTGTAGAAACTTTATTTTCTGTATTATGGAATGTTGTTGATTTTTATTGGCAATCACTCTTGGCAGAAATATTTCACCAAGTAAAAACTTCCACAGCAGTTATTCGAGTATTGAGAGGGTTAATTCTAATAGATGGACTTCAAGTACAGTGTGCTGACAGCTAAATAACATTATTCATGTCCAATCTGGTGATCTTGGGTTTTGAAATCTACAGCTTGAGAAATTATTTCGTTGGGGAGAATCATTATGTTGGAAAGAAATGTTTTCCCAGTCAGCATCCTGTTAAGCATACCCTTGTACCTTTTGGCAATTTTTCCCCTTTGCATTCTGAAGAGATCCCGTATGATTGTCCTGACATGATGCTTAAATTCTCAGCTTGGAGGCTTAATAGGTGGTGTTGCAACCTCATGGTTTCTTGGTCCTGCTTGGAAGCTGGAGTCCATTTCTAATGATGGCCATGCTGACAACGCACCCATTTTTACCGTCATTAAGCATACAAGAAATAGCAATAGATGACATCAGTCATTTGTATTGAGGGTTGTTCCATGAACATTACATCAACTTTGCTTTAGGTTTTTGTCTTGAATTTGAATCTTAGAGATCAGGATGGAAGGTTTTAGTACTGTAGGTAAGATTATGAATTAATTTGTATGTACTGGGAGGTAGTATGTTTGTGGAACCTTGGTGGCTGCTTTGAAATAAAGTGTGTTATTGGTTTGCTGTGAATTGTCAAATGTACATGCTAATGGCAGATTATGCTTGCTGTTGTAACTTATCTACATTTTGTCTTCCTCTTTTACTGTTCTTTCTAAGTAACTTTGGGACAGGACGTCAAAGCATTTGAAGAACCAGACTTACAGGCCAATACTCAAGTCACTTTTCCATACAACCGTGGCAGCTATAGCTCTACTGATAAAAATCGGAATACATCTCGGCTATGAGAGTAGGCGAGCTTTTGTATCGAGTGTTCTCCTTCCCTTTACCTTGTAATATTCTACATCAAAAGCGAACTTCCACTCACATAAAGGTGGCCATCACAAGTTTGATGATCACCCCATTGGCATCAACTATCAATTATACTGGTGATATCAGGGAAAGATGAAAGGGTTTTCAGTTCCAGTTGCAATTTGAGTAAGATAGATGTTTGTAATGCCTTATTTCCAAGAATGAATCTGTATTTATCCCTAAAGAAGATGATTTCAGGCTTCTACTTTCCATCAACTCCAAAATTATTGAAGGTATAAATAAATAAGATTCTCGACAAAAAGCCCTTCATCCTTCGACGAAGATTTGCTGTATGAAATGTTTTAAGGCAATCCGCCTAATTTTCATGTTCCTTTGAGATGTTTGATGTCATGGAAATTTCTGCAACCATAAGTTGGTTTTATCGCCAAAACAATAAACAGCTAGATTAAACAAGTGGTGAGGTTATCACTGTCAAACATTTGAAGTCAAGAGTTCAAGTTAAAGTATGCACTATGCAGGGGAGAGATATTGTAGTAACATATAAGGAATGAATAAGCAAGATACAGAAACCAAACTTAAAATGGCGATGGTGGCAACTAAAGCAACTTCCCCTCTCTTCGGAAAAGCCATGCTTATGTTTCTAGTTTATCTTATTGGCAGGCGGTGAGCAGCGCGGTCCATCCAACATATGGTGTGTAAGTGCTGAGAGATACTTACATGTCAAGAACTCAAGTTCCTGATCATAAAGAAATGCAAAAATAAGCAAGGATAGGGATAAGAATTTAGAGAGAGAGTTGAGAGGGAAAACAGAAATTGGATTTGTTATTATTCATCAAGCTTGGTTGTTACAATTCATCAGAGTTGCTTATATTCAGCTCATTTCCACCGACTTAGTAATGCATCAGCATTCTAACTAACTCTACTGGCAGTTATTAATTTTTAACTATGTACTGCTAAGGTCCTCAAAACTCATTAAATTGATGTTAAGTCCTCATGTGCCTGACATTACACTAGAAAATTTTTATTTATCTATTATCAATGTAAGCCACGGTTGAGATTCACTTTAGCAAATTTTTTTCTTTTTTCATGGGTAATATTAATTAATAAGTGTCATCCATGCACAGAATAATACAACAGACCAAGCTGATGACAAAAAAAGTATTAAAATATTAAAATGTCCCTTGGTCCTTCCCACCGAATTGTCACCAAATGCATCTATATATGAATTACGAATATATTTTTCTCTACATCATCCCACAGACTACAAAAAATGAGGCGTATTTACCGTCCACCAAAGGCAAGGGTAAGCAAAATTCCCTTTTCAGGATATGTGAAAAGACAAACTGACATTTCAAAAGTATCATCTTGCTCGTTATGTAACATAGCTTCTTGTTTTCACCATCAGAGTTTTGGAATCCTATTTGTACATGAGTTTTTGTAAAGGCAAGAGTTCCAATGAAGATGAAATAAAAACAAGACTTAATTTTTGTGCAAGTTTCAAGTGTATAGATAAAAATTGTTCAAATGGAATTGTGGATTTAAAAGTACACTGTATAATCGTGAGGAAGAGAAATGCCATAAAATGAGTCCTTATAGATTGATTTTGATCCAGATCTGTGAGCCGGTGCATATGGTTTTTTTTTTTTTTTTAATTTTGTTGATTTGTTAAAGACCAAGTTAAAAAAAAAAAAGGTGACAAACAAAGAATAACGTTTATAAATATCTTATTGAAAGATAGTGGGACAAGACTCCATAATTATGAGGCAATAGTTATAATTTCTGCATATATATAATTCATAGATTTTCAGAGGGACAGAGGTAGAATAACCTTACTGCCCCAATGTATCTCGGTCCCTGTCTAGCCATACACTTCAGCAAATGAAACCATAAAGATTTAGGTGGACACCAATAGAACATTTGTAATTACTTGTCAACAACTCTAGTATATTTTAAACAAATTTTGCATTTTTTACTATTACAATATGTTCTTTTATACATTACATACATCTTTTGTTTCTGATAATTTAAATTAGTAAAAAAAAATTTGTATATTTTCTTTAAGTATTATATGAATGTGTTTATTTTGTTATTAGACTTATGTTAGATTATCTATTTCTACTATTCAAAATTTCATGTTTATATTTGTGTGCCTTAGTTTGTGACGGTTGGGGTTCTTTGACTGAAAAACTTGACCTTTGAGATGGCTTGGGTAGAGTGATAGGTTGGTAAGTGTAAAAACATGTAGAATTATTAATTAATGTGGCCTTTGATATTAGATAGCTAGTTTTTTTTTTTTTAAAGTGTATAAGTGGGAGGGTTCAATCAGGAGAGTTCTCATTTGCACTTCCTTTTCTTATACCATCTAACCCATTCCATAAAATATATATATAGAATTATTGCGGTAGCTTTTGATATTAAATAGCTAGTCTTTTTTTTTTAGTGTAAGTGGGAGACCTCTCACTTCCCCCGCTTACACTCTTTCCCCTATACCTTTCAACCCATTTCTCCCTCCTATATTAGTTAGCTAGTCTTTGTGCTCTTAAAGTATTTTTCTATGTCCATCCGGATTATTCATTTTTGCTCGTAGGCTTTTTGACAGTAATTTTGTTGTATTGATATGTCAAGTCTTGGTTGGTTTCGCTTTGTTACATGACGGAGCCTTGTTTTAGTCCTTAGATTGACTATGGCTAAGTTCCAGTAATTCGTTCCTTGGCACTTCCGAAAGCTTATTTATTTTCGTAATTGTTGTTTTTTCTGTAGCTCTTTCATTAGCCTTCTTGTGCTGCTCCTTTAGTTGCTTGAAGAGGATGAAGTGGATTGTTGTTCATTGTTGCTTTATGTTGCCGAGGCTCAACTAGCCTCCGTTTCTTTTGACATTTTTAATGCTCTTTCTGGAGTTGCAAATGCTATCCTGTGGGCTGCTAGGTTAAGTTGGAAATGAAAAACTTGTTTACACAATCACTCATATCTCATGTTATTGAGAGGGGCCAATGGTACTACCTTTTATATACAAATTACTAAAGGAAGTGCAAGATTCAATTATGCATTGAAAAGGAACTAAAACATCAGAATTGCAAAATACAAATTTCGCATTTAGATTTAAAACGAACCTTACTAAAGGAGAATTGACTTGCAAAACCAAAATAATAGAAGACTTAATGAATATCAAAGAGATCAAACCAAAATAAATAAATACACCATGGTAACAGGATAAAGAGGCAAAAAAAAGAAAAATGATAAACGCTAAATAAAATATAATTAATGAAAAAAAATTAAGTCCATATATGGCAGCTTGAATCAGGGAAAAAAACAGGAATAAAAAAAATATATAATATACTAGATAGCAAGAGTAGAGATAAAAGATCTATTGTCTATGCTTCTTCTAAAAAAAGAGATGATCATGAATCATGATTTTTGAACAAAAGAAATATTCATTCTCGTGTAAAAAAACATACATCTAGTTAATAATAGAGGAAGGAGGAAAAGATGCACTGATTGAGTGGGAGGATGAAATGCAAAGAAAAATTACGATGAAGGAAAAGAAAAAGGGGAAAAGCAAAATTTTGAATTAAAGAGTTAAAATTGATAGAGGAAGAAGTGACAACATAAATCAATTAATTGTTATGATACCTTTTCATGATTAACAATAATCATCTAAAACAATAGTAAGAAAATAATCTTAGCATAATTAATTTTAAAAAAATTTTTAAGGGCAAAAAAGAAAGATGAAGAAAAAAGAGGAAGATAAGGATTGAAGGCAAAAGCAGAAAGAGAAAGAAGAAAAGAATTCGGAGGAGAGTTGTTTATGATTTTTGGCTACTGAAAGAAAGTAGTGGAGCAAAAATTCAACTTAAAATGAAAACTACCACTTGTCAAAAGAAGAGACTATACACATGGCAAAAAGCGAGATTGCTACAGTAACCTCTCTCTTTTTTTTTATCCAAGGCATGCAAGGCAGAGTAGAAAAGGATGAAAACTCATCTGCAATTAACATCCTCAATTGCTTAATAATGGTATTAGCATCAATATATACTCGAGAACATTAATTTGCGATCATCTAGCTAGTCTCCTATGTATTTGTATAATTGCGGTTAGCCCGTTGCAGATGTTCAAGGAGAGCCTGCACTGCTTTCAATTAGGCTTTCCTTGAAAGACTGCAGTGGAGTAGTAGTAGTAACTTCATCATCAGCCTTCACAGTCTCGAGGAGTTATTCCCTTCGGGAATATCATCCCAGAAAATACCGTCCAAATATTTCGCACTTAAAGAGAGTGGCCAGCCACCTTTATGGCTTTAACCTGCAGCTTTCTGATTCATAAATACTAGCATTCCTTGTCTTCCTACAAACCAAAGCCTTCTGCCAAACTTTTTATCATCCTAGCCAAAGCAAAACTGTAACCTGCCATGACGCATGCTGGTAACTCCGCTTTCAGTAGAATGTGGCACAAGTGTCATCAAAATGGGTAAGAAAGAAGATGGAATATGAAGAGGCCGAATAAGCAAACCCAACAGATATGGTAGGGAGAGGATAGCGCAGGATCTGCAAATGCACACCTTAGTTAATCGGCTTATCTGTTGTATCCAAAGACAGTCAAATCATCATGAATGTGAAGATTCACAAACTTCTGTTATCTCTATTGTACTATTGTCCCTTGTCTCCCTCTTTGCGGGTAGTAGGGTGCAAGAAATGAACTAAGCATAACAAAGAGAGACTTAAATATCATCAAAAACTTACTTAAGGCATCATGAATCAACATATAGC